CCCAGGAGCGGCGGATAAACACGGAGTCAAATGATTCAAAGCTTCACACAGGCACTCCCTGGGACACTGGGACTTTCTTTGCCCATTTATCCCCTCTACAACTTACCTGGGGTTTTTTAGCTTCCTTTCTGCTCTGTGAGGAGGCTCATTGGGACCTGAAGCAGAGGGATGACCCCGCAGCAGGGAGCTGTGCACCATGGTGGGAGCCTCAGCACATCTTAAAATCACCCTGTGGCACCCGAGGGAGCAGAGCGTGGAAGGGTTTTACAGTGCTTCCAGAACAGCCTTTGTAATGGAGGCAAAAAAGCTGAATTGATCTGAAGTTGGTGCAAAGTCTTCCTAAATAATGCCATGATTAGATGGCATTGGTCAGGTGGGGCTTGGAGCAACCTGCTCTAGTGGAAGGTGTCCCTGCCCATGGCAGGGGGTTGGAGCTGGAGGAGCTTTAAGCTCCCTTCCAACTCAAACCAGGCTGGGATGATCTGATTTTCCTGAACTGTTTTAGCCAGGCTCAAACTGACCTGTGGTTTTCCAGGCTGGGTTCCAGCTTTGGGCTTGGGGGGCTATACCTGCGGAGCAGCTTGGTGGCCTGAGCACTCACTGAGGACTGCGAAGACTCAGTAATTTTGACCTGGAAACAAGTGCCTGGAACATGGATGAAATCACAAGTGAGGTGTAAGAAGACCCTGGCTCCATTGGAGAGACTCAATAATGCTGCATCTAGAGAGAACCAGTCCACAGGTGAAGCATTAACAGATCCTATAGAAGAGGATTTCGGAGCTTCTCTGCCCGCAGCACAAAGGTTCAGCCTCTGGTGCCTGTGCTCACTGAGCATCACCCCGCTGCTGCCTGCCAACTTGGCAACAGCACCTCTGTGAGACCCACCAGGTCAGGACCAGAACTCACTGAGGGGCAGTTGGGTGGCCAATTTTCACTCCATGTATGGCCACGGTTCCTTTTGTCAGTGAGCTCTTGTGATGTACTTTCATCTTTGCACGGTGTCAGCGGTGTGCACAAAGGAGATCCTGCATTACGGGAACTCGGGGTAAGGATTAAAACACATGCAGGGAGTGAGACATCCAGATCTGATCGGGCTTCTCAGGGACAGGCTTGAGCCTGAAGAGAAACAAAGAAAGAGCAGGAATAGTTTTTCATGGGAATACCCATCAGCAGAGAGGGGCTGAGGCTCTGCAAACACCTCCCTCGCCACGTCCTTGGCAAACGCGGCCCAGGAACGGTGTTTCCCTGTTGCTGTGCACAGCCACTGGCTTGGAGGGAATCTGCTGTAGCCCAGAGTAAAAGTGAATTTCCTGAGAAAATCATGACTAAGTGAACCTCTGACCACAGAATGGAATTGTCCTGTGCACAGCGGGACCAGTTATCCCAAACCACCAGCCAGTTTTCCTTCGTTTGCTGTATATTCAGACCTGCCAGCACTCAGCAGCTGCTGGGAGCTGTAGGTGCAGTGGAAAGGACAAAGACTGTAGCTGAGAGAAAGTTATGAGAGCACGGGAAGCTTTACACCACGTGCTGAAGATGATGAACCCCCTCGTGTGCTGGGTGCACCCCCAGAGCGTGAGCAGCAGCTCAGGGAGGGGATCCTGCCCCTCTGCTGCGCTCTGGGGAGACCCCCCCTGCAGCCCTGATCCAGCTCTGGGGAACAGCACAAGAGGGACGTGGAGCTGTTTACGTATTAGGCAGAAGCTGTTCCCTGTGAGGGTGCTGAGGCGCTGGCACAGGGTGCCCAGAGAAGCTGTGGCTGCCCCATCCCCGGCAGTGTTCAAGGCCAGGTTGGACACAGGGGCTTGGAGCAACCTGCTCTAGTGGAAGGTGTCCCTGCCCGGGGCAGGGGTTGGAGCTGGAGGAGCTTTAAGGTCCCTTCCAACACAAACCAGGCTGGGATTCTATGAAGCCAGAGTCCCAGGTGAGGGGAGGTGCACACTGCCATGGAGCTGTTAGGACCACCATGGGCAACAGAGCAGGTTTTAGTTCACAGTTTGACTGAAAATCACTCACGGTTCCATTAGAGGGAACTCAGAACTGACCTGCTTTAAAAAGAGGCCAACCATAAACTATGGGGTCACTTGTTCATGCAACACTTAAAAGGCAAATTAGAGCAGCCAAATTGTTTTCCCTCACTAATCCCAGCTCCCTGCTTTAGTGCTTTGCAGCCAGCAATAAGGAAACCCTCCACAACCCCACCCCAGCAACAGAAAGGCTGGGCTCAGGGACACAAATCAGACTGAAGCTCTCTGGTGCAAATGTAAATCCATCTCTTACTTCATACTCTCCAGTTTACATTGTTCTCCAGTTTGTTATTTATCAAGAGATCAAATGTTTCTGTGCCATATGGGTCCCTCCAGAAGAAGCTGTCAAGTAGATTTAGCCTTGGTCTTCAAGTGCTCAGAAGAAAGGAGACTCCCTGGATTAATTTGGAAGCTTCCTTGCTGACTGCATCTGCCCTTTCCGGCCTGTGCAGCTCATGCTTCCAGAAGGATTTGTTTGGCAGAAGTCACTGGAGCATCTATGCTAAGGCTGCGGTGTGGAAATGGAGTCATGGCTACAGCCCCAGATACGCCAAACAGTTTCTCCACTAAAACAGTTACAAACCTCCTCTGCAGCTTAAAAAGGGAAGAGTGAACCAGGGAGCAGCAGCAAAGAGAAGGAGTTTTAACCATAGCCCAGCACCAGGTAGTCTCAGACCGAAATCTGTATTTGCCAGTAAAAATGTCAGCAAGAAATCATAGAACCATAGAATGGTTTGGATTGGAAAGGACCTGAAAGCTCCTCCAGCTCCAACCCCTGCCCCGGGCAGGGACACCTTCCACTAGAGCAGGTTGCTCCAAGCCCCTGTGTCCAACCTGGCCTGGAACACTGCCAGGGACAGGGCAGCCACAGCTTCTCAGCGTGGAGGTTTCACAGCAGTGATTTGCTTGAAAATAGGGGGTTTAGCTCTTTCTCCCTTCAGCATTTGCTGGGATTTTGGACTTCTTCAGTTATATTTTACTCAGTGGCGTGGCTCAGGGTTTGGTTTTTGGCATCAGAACCCTCCTGCTGCTCTCGGCACCTGCATCCCCTCCAGGGGTTTTCCCTTCAGCAGATTGTGAGCGGGAGGAATCGGCAGCCCCACAGCAGCAGAGAGCTGCAGGAGCGAGTCCAGCACTGGCACACAGCAGTTTGGTGATGGCTCTTGGCACTGCCAACACATGGACTTTGGAGACAGACCTTCAGCATCTGGTTTTGTGAAGAACCCACCACCACATGCTGGGGTGGAAACTGGTCTGTCTCTGCACACAATGGGGTTGTGTCTGGGTTTGGTTTTCTCTTTCTGCTCTGAGTGGGAGAAACCCCCACACCAGCGCTGCTCTTTTTTGCTGTTAAGAGGAATCCTTGTTGCCATCGTTTGTGGCCAGACTCCAAGCACAAGTATTGCTTCCTCAGACAACTGACAGAGGGTTTATCCAGATAAACTCCTGGTGTTGTCCTGCATTGCTGGCCTGAATCCATCCAGCACAGAGGCCATGGCTGGTCCAAAACCAGAGGATGGAGGGGACACGCCTGCAGTGGAAAGGGCACAGTGGTGACAAAGGCAAACCAAAAGAGGGAAGTCACCTAAACTCATTCCCAGTAACACTTTTCTAACCTGTCTTAAGCTATAACAGCCTTGAGATGCACGTGGTAAACCAAAGGGGTCTTGTGGATTTACCTGGGGTTGTTTTCCAAGACCCCCTGTTGCTGGAAGGTGTCACCTCCATGGATGAAGGGCACTGTGTCAGTGGGTCTGGTCCTCTCCTGGGCAAAGCCAGCCAGTTGAGTCTGGAGCAAGAACACTGCTCAGCTCCAAGGGGATGGCTTCTAGGAAAAGGGCAGGAAGGTGCAGCTACAAGGTGTTAACATTGAAAAGTGACAACTGTATCCAAAGTGAACCTTCTCTGTACTCTCAGATAAGATATTGCACACTAACGCCAGCAAATCTGATTATTCCAAGGACAGGCTGAGAGAGCTGGGCTGGTTCAGCCTGGAGAAGAGAAGGCTCCTGAAGGGGACACCTTAGAGCAGCTCCAGTGCCTAAAGGGGCTGCAGGAAACCTGGAGAGGGGCTTTGGACAAGGGATGGAGGGACAGGCCAAGGGGAATGGCTTGAACCTGCCAGAGGGGAGACTGAGATGAGGCCAGATTGGACACAGGGGTTTGGAGCAACCTGCTCTAGTGGAAAGTGTCCCTGTCCGTGGCAGGGGTTGGAACTGGATGAGCTTCAAGGTCCCTTCAACCCAAAGCAGTCTGGGATTGTATGATCTTGCTGTCCACATTCAACCAAACAAGCTCATCAAAATGATCTTTTTCTTTCAAAAGGAGCCTTTCAAGAGTAAGAGAGAAAAAACCTAAGAGAGCACTGAACAGGCCTATGTCCCTTTAATATCCTGCAATGCTTGTTACTGCTCATTCCCGCATGGAGGGTTTGCTGTGGGTTTTTCTTATACAGCAGGCAAATGGAAATCAATTTATATCATTTGGTTTTGAAAGGAAAAAATCCACTTAAGTGAAAAATACTCAGCCCTAGTACACAGCCATCACTGGCTCAGAGACATCTCAGTTAGGAGACTATTAACAGGGATAAAGTGTTTGTGCTCCTTTTCCAGGAAAGTTTCCAAGATAGAAAAAAGCCTCTGTACTGCTGAAGAATTCAGTGTCTTTGTGATTTCTAGAGCCTTTTGTTGGAGCAGGAGAAAGGAAAGTACATCTGCTAAACCAAGAGGCTGGGCTAAGGAGCAGCCCACAAGCTGCCAGCAGTGCTGTGCGACGCGGAACAGCAGCACAGCCACGTGCACACCAAGTGTTGACAGGGGCAGGGTTTTATTGGCTATTCTCAGCAGTTCAATAGTGTTCTTATATGCAGAGATAACACTAATATTCCTCTTCTAGTGAAAGATGTGACAATAGAAGGGGGACAGGCTGACTTCCTTCACTCGTGAGCATCCAGCGCCGTGTCTGACCAAGCCTTTAGGTGATGACGGTCGGACCGGTGCGGCCAGTTCTTTCATGAAGCTGGGAAAGTTTCAGTGCAATTGAAATGAGAGGTGCCAACATGACCTGCAGAAAGGAAAGAGATGGCTCAGAACCACGGAGCAGAGTGCACATCTCATCCACCCTTCCCTTGTGGGCTTCTGGTGTCAGCCAGGGACACCCAAAGCTTGGCACTGCTGGCCAAAGGACTGTTGAGGTTCACAGCGTGAGCTGTGGGACCACCCCAGTGAGGGATGTGGTGTTCTGACCACGTGCAGGTTCAGAGAGAAAACCCCAGCACAGCTCCAGTGCTGCTGGTGCCACCCTCATTGGGCCATACTCCAAACTCTGCTGCTCCATTGGCAGGGTTAAATCCTCGGTTTAGTTTGTGCCTCTCAGAACGTGGAGGTTTGAGTCTTCTGTCAATAACTGCACAGAACTTTTATGCAAAAAGGGCTCAAGGACTGTTTGCTGGGGAATAGAAAATGAGGATTCTTTTCCTCCTGTGCCTACAAGAGAGCTCAACAGCATTTTTAAATGATGCTGTAAAAGAACACAAATTATCCAGCTCTGGGGCAACAGCACCAGAGGGACATGGAGCTGTTGGAGTGAATCCAGAGGAGGCCCCGGAGCTGCTGCGAGGCTGGAGCAGCTCTGCTCTGGAGCCAGACTGAGAGAGCTGTGCTGGGGCAGCTGGAGAAGAGAAGGCTCCTGAAGGGGACACCTTAGAGCAGCTCAAGTACCTGAAGGGGCTGAGAACTCCCAAGTTCTGTATAGGAATGAGCTCATTTTATCCCTAGTGATGCAACATTTCAACTAGAAGGTGAGTCCAGGACTGAAACGGTGTCTTCCCACACCTGCAACCAGCCACAGTTCTAACATAAATAAACTGGAATTCTCATGTGGGATTGCAGGAGCAGCTGTGAGGGATTCTGAGTAAGTAACACAGGGGGTTATTATGTACATCTATTGTATAAATAGATTAAAGATTGGGATTAAAGACACCAAAGCCCTTGCTTCCAAAACACCTCACACCTCCACATCGCTCCAAGCAACACAGAGCTAAGCAAAGGTCTCAGATTTTTAGGAAGGCTAAAGGGAAGGCTAAGGTGGTGCCATGGCTGAGGCTCAGCCCTCACCTGAGGGTCCTCATGGATCTTGTGAGGGTCCTTCTCGTAGCTGTCGATGTAGAGCCGCACGGTGGCCCCCGCGCTGCCGGTACCGCTGAGTCTGAAGATGATGCGGGAGCCGTCCGAGAAGATGAGCCGCAAGCCCTGGTAGGAGAGGAGTGGAGGAAAGGAGCCTCTGAGCCTTGTGCCTCTTGGGTATCCAAGGCATTTTCCAGGAGACCCAGCATGGCTGTGCCTGACCTGCACGATCCCTGAGCTCCTCCTCTTTAAGGAACCATGGAAGACTCCTCCATCATCCTCTCCTCACTTCCAGAGGAGCTTGTGTCCCTCCTGGTCCACTCTGGAGAACTTGCTAGAGCTCCTGAACACAAAGTGTGTTGCTGCTCTAAGATCCCTCACCCCATCGCTTGCTTGGATGGAAACAAGAGCCAGGCACTGTCAGCCATTGGAATAACCTCCCCAGGGAAGTGGTGGATTCCTCAACGCTGGCCACTGTTTTGATTCAGCTGGACAGGGCGCTGGGACATCTAGCCTAGGTCATGCTTTGCCAAGAAAGGTTGGACCAGATGATCCTCGAGATCCCTTCCAACCTGTGATTCTCTGTCAGACAGGGCATTACCAACCCATTGCTCTTCCGCAAAAATAGGACATAAAGGGAATGTTTGACTTTGTCCATTGCATTTGTGCCTGCTCTAAAGGTAAGCCCAAAATACACAGAGCAACACCCTCTGAGGTCATGTTCAGCCCAGGCCAGGCTGTGCCCACCTGGTTTTTGGAGACACTTCCATCCACAGGATCACTGTACTCAAAATTATCAGCTTTCTCAACCGTGTAGACTTTGTCACCACACGAGAGCTGCTTCCCCACGAAGGAGCGGTCAAACATCACCGCCTCCAAATCCTTCATCATTTTGTTAGCTGCATCTGCATCCACCTCCTCATAGTCGTATCTACAAGCAGTCACCATAAAACAAAGGTTAGGAAGGGGAGGCTGTAATGAGTAGGAATGTTTTGTGATGCCCTTGTTGGAACACTGTGGTTTGCCCCACAGATGTGCTCTTACTCCTTTACTGGAGGAGAGGACAGAAGAAAAGAGAGAAGGATCCACGTGTAGCAATATAGCTACGATCCAGTACAAATCCATGGGATAACCACAACACATCCCAGGCATTTGGCATCAGGAGGGATGAAAGTGCAGGTTGTGCTCTCACAGACACAAGGGCTCAACCCCAACAACGCTGACTGCAAAGAATTTATCCATGGCAGGATCTCAGCAGGTTCCTCACGATAACACCTTTGCCTGAACATCCTCCTGTGCATCCACAGCAAAATGCAGGTGTGACTGCAGCCAGGATGCCAGTGCCAGCTTTGATCTCTCCAACCTGAGTAAGAGAGGCAGCAGAGAGCAGCTCAAGTGCACATCAGGATGTGAGACTTTCTACTCTTGATTCCCAGCGTGATCTGTGCTTTTACTCACCAGCTGGCTCCACGGAGCATGCACGGGCTTGCTAACCTGCTGCCACTGCACTGCTCACTCTGCAGCCATACCTCTGGTGCTAAAAGGCTGCCTTTTACTCTAGGCTTTGGCATTTTTTCCACAGTTTGAATGGCTCAGCTGTGTGCTGGCTTTGTGGTGGGGGGGGAAAGAAGGAAAAGGCAAATCCCTTCATTTGGCAATCACACAATTTTCAGGTAGGTCTTCCCTGCTGAAAGATTTCTGCCCAATGCTTTCAGCCCACACAGTATTCCCACCCTGCTTGGGGCAGGCTGTTTCCCTTTGCATCTTCCATGTCTACTGCAGTTGAAACTAAGAGCGTTTTGGGACTAGACAAATTCAACCAGGTAAATAACAGCCTAGGAGCTGGGCATCTGTTCAGTAAGACATCGCCATCACTAAAGATACTGCAGGTTAACTTGGGATTCGGAGTCTCAAGAAACATACTGTGCCAATGGCAAAAGAGATTCTTGCAAGGAAAAATTCTCCATTAAAACCAAAAAAAAGACACTTTACATAAAAGGCACAGCCTTTGCAGGCTTGGGTACTTACCAGGCTTATGTTTAGAACAACAAATCCTAAACGGGACACTGGGAGAGGTTCAGGTGAGTACCTGCTGGTTTATTTAACCCAGTTATGGTCCATACTGCAGCAAACTGCTCAGGGGGTTAAATCACTGCAATCAGCACGTGTAAGGAGGTGTAACTGTGCTGTGGTGGCACATGTGGGTGCCACCAGTGCGTGGGGCTCTCACTTTGGAGGGTTGGACACAGGACAAGGGTGAAGCGTGTGGTGTCTGCCCCACCTGGTGAAGAAGTTCCTGCCGTACTTCTGCCAGTGATCCTTCATGATGTCCTCCACGCTCTGCTTGCGGGTGGCCAGGATGGACAGCCAGGCCAGGACAGCCCAGAGCCCGTCCTTCTCCCGGATGTGGTCAGAGCCTGCAGAGAGCCACAGCACAAACACATTTCCCACCTCTTTCCACGCAAGAGCCTGTGCTACAGCCCTACCTTGTCCTCCCCATCCAGCTGGCAGCCATACAGACACACAAATGGAAGGCATTCCACGAGCTTGATCCCTGCTGTATTGTTAGAATGGTTCAAGATATCATCTGCTTTTAGCTATAGCCCAAATAAAACATTCAGCCTCTTTTAACACACACGCACTCATTGTTCACAGATCCTTAATTCTGTTCCCAAGGAAGCAATGGGGATAAAATGGTCATCAAAAGAAAGAAGGAAAAAAAAAAGAAGAGGGAAATGCAAAGGAACAGCTCAGGAAGGACTAACACCAACCTCCTCAAGCAGCTGTCATGAACTGTCTGCCAAATCAGCATACCCTGAACAGCACATATTCTGGCTGAGCACCAACAAAAATGTCAGCCCTTGCTGAGGAAGCCAAACCCTAACGACTCCGAAATTAGCATCCCAGAATCATAGAAGGGTTTGTGTTGAAGGGACCTTAAAGCTCCTCCAGCTCCAACCACTGCCACGGGCAGGGACACCTTCCACTAGAGCAGGTTGCTCCAAGCCCCTGTGTCCAAGCTGGCCTTGAACACTGCCAGGGATGGGGCAGCCACAGCTTCTCTGGGCACCCTGTGCCAGCGCCTCAGCACCCTCACAGGGAAGGTATCACCCACAACAGAGAGAAGAGCCCACTGGACAACACCAACCACCGGGGCTGGCAAACAGCAGTGCAGAGACACTTCATCCCCTGTGGAGACCAGAGGAGAGCCCTATGCCCGCTCTCACTCACACGTGGCCATCCCATAAAGGCTGTCAAAGACCCTGGTGTGGCTGGAAGAGGGTTCCTGCAGAGCAAGCACTGCACAGAGGGCAGGCAGCCACCCGGGGCCAGCCCAGCCTCACCCTGGGAGCACATTGACAGGGACCACGTGGCACCGGGGCCCTTGGGAAACCAGAGAGGGTGTTGCAACTCACCCAGCACCCCGAGCACCTAAATTAAACAAGGATCAAATGGCAGCCCAGAATACACCCAGCCCGGACCCCAGGGTTCTGGCTTGCGAGTGCTCCACAGATGCACAGCTTCTGGGGTTTATCCTTTGAGCTCTGGAAAACCTCCAAACAGGTATTAATGAATCCCAAGGAGCCAGGGTTTGCGGAGAGCGCTCCAGAGCTGCCCCTCTGCCCTCTCAAGGGTTGCCAGAGTGGGCAGTCACCTGGGGGAAAGGCTGGGGCACGGGTTATGGGGGGCTTTACATAAATCCACTACTGTGGACACAGGGATAAATTATCCTCAGGGTCCTTTACAGCAGAGAGAGCTGTGCAGAGGTGGTGGAGAGGAATGCTATATAAACACAAGTCCCATGTGATGGATCAGCTTATTGCTGGAATAAAATACCCAAGGAAGCAAGCAGGAATTCTGTCATGTCGCATTACTCTAATTGCTCCTGGACTCCAGTCCCACCGGGGCACAGTTTGTTCCAATTTTTACTGGGTCTATTTGCCTGCTCCTTCACCTCTCTCCCCTTCAGCACTCACATTCTGTCTGGCTCCAAACAGCTCCTCATTAACTTCCTATCAAACAACCTTCCTTGCCCTTTTCATTCCTTAAAGTGCATTTCCCAGATGGACAAACCCCCTTTGCATTGCAGGGGAGAGGGTCCAACACTTCTGGGCCCTTTCTTAAGTCTGTCCCCCCCCAGACTGCTTCGGCTCCTGGCCACTCATGATGCTGCATGGCCAAAATCTCAAACCACCCTCAGCCCCTGCTGCAAACGGAGCCACTTTTACTTTAATGCAGAGTCACTCACCTACTGGGGGAGGGAGAGAAACTATGAGCTCATTGCTCATACAGTAAAAGATGGAAACAATTTTAGAGAGCTGCTCATTAGAGACCATCTCCTATCAGCAGCTGCATGAATCATTTGGTGCTTTTTGTTGTTATTTATTTACTGAAATGCTGGTGCCCTCTCATTAGCCAAAGTTCAGAATGTAAACTTAATGCATGCTGAAATCACCCAGGGCAACGCTCCAAGATCTGTCTTTACTCATACTTCAAGATTTCTTTACACAGATACCACGTTTTGTGAAACTCCCCTTTCCTTCCTGAGGCCAAATCCCGTGTATCAGAATAGCAGTTGATTGCAGTAACACTGCCACTGAAGACTCTGTCAGCCCCACAGCAAAATGCTGTCACCCAGTGGTCCCATTCCCTCAGCTACAGGAAAGCTGGATAATCCTTTCATGTCAAATTGTGCACCCCAGTTCCACACAACGTTTGTGAATCAGAGTCATAGAATGGTTTGTGTTGGAAGGGACCTTAAAGCTCCTCCAGCTCCAACCCCTGCCACGGGCAGGGACACCTTCCACTAGAGCAGGTTGCTCCAAGCCCCTGTGTCCAAGCTGGCCTTGAACACTGCCAGGGATGGGGCAGCCACAGCTTCTCTGGGCACCGTGTGCCAGCGCCCCCGCACCCTCACGGGGAAGAGCTTCTGCCCAAGAGCTCATCCCAGTCTCCCCTCTGGCAGGTTCAAGCCATTCCCCTTGGCCTGTCCCTCCATCCCTTGTCCAAAGCCCCTCTCCAGGTTTCCTGGAGCCCCTTTAGGCACTGGAGCTGCTCTAAGGTGTCCCCTTGAGGAGCCTTCTCTTCTCCAGCTGCCCCAGCCCAGCTCTCTCAGCCTGGCTCCAGAGCAGAGCTGTTCCAGCCCTCGCAGCAGCTCCGGGGCCTCCTCTGCAATAGCTCCAGTCCCTCTTGTGTTGGGATTTAAAGCCATCCCTGCTCTGTGAGACACCCCCACACAGGCTGAAATGTTTTTCTGAAATATGGGCTGACGGAACAAAAACACACAAGGTTTGAGCCTGAAATCATCCAGCTTAGATTCTCTGAGGCCCCTTGTGCCTTGCATGTCCTACCAACTGCCCTTGGTCTTCAGAGGTCTTTAGAGAACAGGAAAAACAAGACCTTGGGGGGAATTCAGACCTGATAAAACTCAGCCTTTGCCCATGAATTAGGTGCTGATCTACTGGGAAGGTCCCATTTCCACAGTCAGGACGTTAAAACCATGTGGTAGATGCCACAGGAGAGCTCAGGAAGAGCCGAGGCCTCCCAGGAACACTGCGTGTTTTGAGCACGCCGCACCGACGCAGAGCAAAACCTGCTCACTTCAACTTCCCTGCACAAATAATAGTTGTGTGTCACGTGCACACCCCTAGTAAATTCCTTAAGATGTTCACTTTGTTTCTCAGTAACCCAATAACTTGCTCCGACTGTTCAAAGGCAAGTGTTAATTTAAACTTTATAAATCATACCTTGTTTTTCGAACAGGAAAATGAGGGCCCTATTAAGCTCAGAGATTTAATAGTGACCTGAAACCTTCCCTAATAAAACTGCATGCTCCAAACCATATTTCTTTCCAGAAATGAAAACATTTAGAAGGTTTTCCTGGCCACCAAGAGTTGAAAAATACATTTAACATTGCACTTAATCCCCATAGACTCAATGACCGGGCTAGTAAAGAGGCCCTTAAACTTCCTGCATATCTACATGTGCCTTCCTAACTAACTGAAAGAACTAGCTCTGGCTGACCAAACTTTAAGCATTATGTTTGTTTCCACCAGTGATTCTTGCAAGCTTTTTAAAGATTTAATTACTTTGGAAGCATTAATAACTACACATGAAAGACAAATCCCAAGCTACCCACCACAACAAAGAACTGAGAGGAGGTATAATAGCATCCTTGGTGAAATCAGGAACGCTGACTTACCAGTACCAAAACTTTCCTCTCCACACAGAGACAGCTTGTTTGCATCCATCAAGTTTCCAAAGAACTTCCAGCCAGTTGGAGTTTCATACAAAGCAATCTTTGTAGCTTGGGCCACCCTTCAAAGGTAAAAAAAGGCTAAAGTCACATCACAGCTGGACTCGCAGTGCTCCCATGTGAAATACTGCAGCAGGAGCTTCAGCTGGTACCAAGCGTCTCTGTTGGGGTAGCACTGAAGGCAGGTCATGCCACTGTCTTGGGTTTTTATAATGAACCATTCTTTGTCCAGCAAACCTCTATTTTATCCCGGTGTGATGTTTGGGAAATGGATGGGATCACAGAATCACGGAATGGTTTGGGTCGGAAGGGACATTAAGGATCATCTAGCTCCAACCCCCTGCACAGTTAAAGAATAGATATAAACATACAGCTCTCCTAAAGCACTTTTAAGCTGCAGATCTCAGAGCATTTATCAAAGAAGTATCACTATCAAACTGAAAAGAAAAAAGAGGGGGAGGATCACTCAGGTTTTGGCCTATCTGTAGAGAAGAGAAAGAGCCAAGAGCAGAGCCCAGCTCTGCCATGTCCCCAGAGAGGATGTAACTCATTAACCCTCACCCTGGCAGCCAGCCCGCAGCAGCCCTGGCTCTGCTTCACGCCTCAGAGGGACCAGGAGATGGTCCCATCAGATGGACTCATTCCCACTAGGAACATGTGTGTTAAACCACAAAAAAGGGACAGTCCCTCTCCTTGGCCGGGCTCCCCTCTCCCACCACACACAGAGGTGGATGCTACCTATCGAGAGCCCCGCTGGTGGGCATGCTCCGGGCAAAGCCGCGCACTCCGGTCTGCTGGAAGTACGGGATGCTGAAGATGTTGGCAGCGATGACGGCCACGGAGTCGGAGGGGTTCACAAAGAAGCCGTGTTTCCCAAGAATCATGTTGCGATCCTGGGGAAGACAAGAGAGGAACAGCTCTGATCCCTGCTTACTGCAGAAGTTGTTCTGCTTGGCAGCCACAGCCCATAAAGCCAGCGACTCACAGAGGGTTTCTTGACTGCACTGAAATAAATGCAGAGTTTTGACACAGTTAAATAGCACCTGGATAGGATTTCACTTTCGTGCTGATTTTTCACAGCCTTTAAAGCTATTTAAACACAGTTTGGACTTCAACATTAACACAGGAGCCAACTATTGCCGTGGTGGCAAATTGCAGCAAGTGGTTCACGTCCATTCACAATTGGAAAGGAGAGAGGGAGGAAGAAACGTCTTTGCCCTCATCCTCCTCTGCTTAAGAGCAGCTGAGCAGTCAGTCCCCCATAGCTGATTGAGGGCAAAAAGGTGACTATGGAACAGTCCATTTACCCCATCTCCATCAAAGGCAGCTCCAAAGTCGTACTCTCCCGTCTTCATGGTCTGGACCAGGTCAGCAGCGTAGGTTAAGTTGGGGTCGGGATGGTGGCCACCAAAGTCCTCCAGCGGGGTGCAGTTCACAGCTGAGTTTGCTGGGGCTCCGAGCTCCTCACACAGGATCTTTTTGACGTAAGGGCCCACAACTATCATGGCAAAACATGGAAACGAGTCAGCCTCTGCCCTCAGTCAGCTGTGCACCAGCCACGTAACCACCCAGCCCTCTGGTCTGCTCAGTTTGGGTCAGTTTATGTGGTTTATGGCAGTAAAGCACAAATGATTACATCAAAGACCCAAGCAGCACAGAGGAGTGCTTAACCCTGATCCACCCAGGCACACAAGCTCATGCCAAAGAAGCTTCTCAGCTGAGGGGCTGTCCCACTAAATAAATGAAACCACTCATGAGTTTAGAAGCGAGCGTAAGCCTATGCCAGGGGTTCAGCATGTGAGCCAGGGCCCCACTGTGAAGGGCTCATGCACCAGGGGCACTGGGGTATTAGAATCACCACATAATAGACCAAAATGCACACGTGCTGCAGATATCCAGCGGTACAATAGGATTTACTGCTCTCAAACACTAATAATGTAGGCATAAAATATAAGTGAGCATTGGAACGAGAATGGTCTGGAGACAAGAGAAACAAGATGCTAAGAAAGCTGGGTGCTCCTGAAAATGTCTATTAAAAGATACAAAACAGTCTAATGGTCCTATTCCTGTACTGCTGTGACCTCCATGGGACACTGACTGATGTGAAGTCTTCCAGGGCAGCTCTGACCACAGCATCAGCCCTAACCTCCTCCATCTCTCAAGTGTGGACTGATGTGTGTGAGCCATTCAGCATCGCCCCTAAATCCCAGCGATCTCTCTGCCCTAGGTCAATTCCCGAGTCCAAACATAACAAAACCCAAATCTACAAGTGATGGATATAAATTCCAGTAAAAAGCTTCTCTCCGAAGTAGGTGGCAAAGCCCCAGGGACACACGGCCCCCACAGTGCCCCAAACCCAAGTCCACCCCTACCTCCATGCATAGCATCTATGCGAATCTTGAGCTGGTTCTTCCCCGAAAGCAGCTCCTTTAACGCATGGAAGTCAAATATGTTCCTCAGCATGTTCGCATAAGCTTCTACTGAGTCCACAATCTCCACTGGAAAAAACAGAAAGTAAATGGAGACCAATCCTCACAGTCCGAAATCTTTGGAGGAAAGTAACTCTCCAGACTGTTTAACTTGGAGAAGAGAAGCTCAGAGCAGCTTCCAGTGTCTGAAGGGGGCTATAAGGATGCTGGAGAGGGACCTTCATCATGGACTGCAGTGATAACGATGAGGTGTGATAGGGTTAAACTGAAACAGGGGATATTTAGGTTAGAAATAAGGAAGAAGTTCTTTACTGTGAGGCTGGTGAGGCACTGGCACAGGGTGTCCAAGGAAGTTGTGAATCATAGAATAGTTAGGGTTGCAAAGGACCTTAAGATCTTCTAGTTGCAACCCCCCCTGTCATGGGCAGGGACACCTCACACTAAACCATGTCACCCAGGATTCTGTCCAACCTGGCCTTGAACACTGCCAGGGATGAAGCATTTAACACTTCCTTGGGCAACCTGTTCCATCCCTGGCAGTGTTCAAGGCCAGGTTGGACACAGGTCAAGGCCGGGCTGGACGGCACTTGGAGCAACCTGCTCTAGTGGAAGGTGTCCCTGGCTGGGGCAGGGGTTGGAGCTGGAGGAGCTTTAACCCAAACCACCCTGTGATTCTATGATAATTTTGCTCCACATGGCACTGTGCTGACAGTCCTTGGTGCAAAAGGCCAGGGCTCAGCATAAAGCCTTTAATCATCCCATAGAATCATTTCATAAAGACAATAGTAATATTCCTATATTAAGAATTTAAACACAGGCTGTCGCAGATAATGAGGTTACAGAGCAAATGGACCAACAAAATCCCTAAGACAAACACAGTTCCCAGCTCCCTGGGTTTCTTTCAAGAGGGCTCAGTCTTATTCTGCTTACCTGGAGAGTGGGAATAAAGGAAAGGGGGAAAATATTTTCT